TTTGAGTGAAAATTACCAACCACAGGAGCTTACTTTTGAAGCAGTTAACTAAATAATTTGATGAATCTTCTGTTTGTTTAAATTTGTTCAAATTTTTTGCTGGAAAGAATTTTGAGTTTGAGTAATATGTAGTGAACACAGAGAAAGAAACTGAACTGTAAAATCCAAGAGCTGGAGTCAATGCCATGGTTGAGATATAAAGAGTCTATTTTTGTAGTTTTTGTTGAAGATAATGATTTAGGGAGAACAAGGTCAGATTAGCTACTACTTGAAAAGTACGAGAAATTGTTAGACATTAAAGTGTAGAGGTCATAGTTTGATTTTATTAAGGTTATTACTGAGGTTTAATTGTGTGAGTAGGTCCATAGAAATAAATATAGGTTGTAATTAGTATTATTTTGTGGAGGGCGAGTGTATGAATTTATGATATCTGTTTCTTGGAGGGATAAAGAATACATTGTTTCAGTGAAAGCAAAGAAGATTATCTGCCTGTGATACATTTTTTTCAGAAGTTCCTGTCAATTTCTTCCAGAAGAATGTCTTTGTTCATACATGTAATAAAGCTCATTCTAACCTGCAACTTCATAAAAACTACCAGCTTTTTTTCTGAGAAATATGACCCAAAACACTTAAAGCTTATTGTACAACACCATTTATCTAACATAGTGTTAAAAAATGCAATCACCAGAATGTAGGACAGACCCAAACAACTCTTACAGAGTCTTTCGACAACCACAACTTTTCTATTAACACAAAGAAGACCTGCATGTTGTCCATCACTTCACTCAAACCAGTTATTCTATTAATGATATGATTCTAATAGATATTGAAACCTGTTTCAAAATTAAACCAGATAAAGAAATGAAAGAAACCTATTGGATTGCCACTTTTAACTTCTTGGAATAAACTTAAGATCCTGGAATCAGTTATCTTCAACCATTAATTAGATCCCTGTTTGATAAATAAATAGTTTTTTTTCTTTCTCATGTATGGTGTGAATTCTTTAATTTTGCCCCTAATCTTTCTTAATTCTTCTTATTTATTTATGATAATTTTTCACGTTTTTAGTTTGATTTTTTTGTTAATCTATCTTTGTATCACATCTTTATTTTAATTTATCAATACCCCAATTAGTTTTTCCTGAACATTTTTTCGTTTTTTAATACAAAACATTTATAACCTCTATAATTCACATTATTTCCTGTCATATTACGCAACAGAAATATGCCACACAGCAATAGTCTTCTAAAACTGTCTTACCTTCCCTCACCCAAAGCTATCTCGATCCTGGTCTGCCCTCTAAGCATTGCTAAAAAAACATTTGCTACAGTGCACCAGTCTTAATACCCCTGGATGTTTTTTGTCTGGGTGAACTGAACTTTGCCTGTTCACATACAATTCATGGTCCTTCAGCCCTCGCCATGTTTAGTTAATTTGTTTTTCTCAGGTACCAAACTATGGCTCACTATCACTATGTTCGGTACTACATCTTGTTGACAACAGATTGGTTATGAAAACCTTCACGATCACACCCATATCTGTAATTTTTTTTCATAATCCCACATATCCAAGGTGCTTCCTCTGGATGTTTTTTGCCTGGGAGAACTGCACTTGGATTCCATCCTTTTTTGGTCAAACTGACAATCACTAGGTAATTGTGAAAGTATGTATATACTTCTAGTAAATATTACAGGTCTTTGGTGCTCAGAAAACCAAATTTTTGTAATGAAGTATTTTTGCTAAAGATTTATCCATGATTTTACAGAGTCTAGAGTCTGACTAGTCTGAGTTCAAAGTTATTTTCATGTTAAGATTAAACATACTTTTTTCATCTTACTGTTTTCAAATTTAATTTTCATAACCTCTGAAACCTCTTAAATGAATATCAAAACTTTCTTTTTTAGTAAAAACTTTATATTTTCTTTAACAGACTTGGTCAATTTGACCTACCCTGTGACCACCATGTAACAAAAAAAAATACTAAATATAAATTACCCTTTTTTTTCATCAATGACTACACATTATAACAGACAATTACACCATTTATTTTTACAGCCAGGGCTTATAAATTTTTCACTTAGTTTTATTTCTTTACAGTTACACCTGGAGCCTCTCAGACTATGGCAATAGCTATTTGTTACACCATACCAGTTTGTGTAAATAACAGATCCAGTTACTGGCATGCTTGTGTCGAATTACATAACTGATCTCACAATTGGTGCATGATGTCATTGTTTATGATTATTTTGTTCATTTAATTTCATTTAAGTGTCTTCAGCTAACCTAACTAGTTTGTAATTTTTATGTTTCAGTCACCTTTGTAACAATAAGTAAAAAATATACATAAGAACAAAGAAATTTATTACTTATGTCTAAAATCTTGTCTTTTTTTAATTGTAAAATAGAAGTTGATATCAAAGATTATCTCTAATTCTTAGTATCAATAACGTGGTCTCAGAAATTGTTTTTTAAGATTCAAATATGTAATTTAGAATATGAAATATAGCCATACATGTAAAATGGACTGTCTTAAAATTAACATAATTTATCTGGCTTTCTAACTAAGCTAGAAATGGCTTAAGTAATTCCTATACTTGGTCAAGCAGAGTTACAACAGCTGTAAACAAGAAAACAATGCCAAAATGTTAAACTCGGTTTATTCCAAGAGCCCCTATATATATCAGTAAATCTTTACTCTCTATTAGTAACTAATGTTAAAGTGAATTTATGACAATTTTTGATAATAGGATGTTCTACGAGAGTCAGTATGTGGCCTTCATTTTATTGATTACTTCTCCATAAAGTAAAAAGCTTTGTCACTACAAGTTGACAATTTAGCTAAGGCATACGTATAGTACAAGTATGAAATTTCATCAAGAGTTGCCCATTTTTGAATCAAAGAAATGTCGCACGATACAGAGACCTAATGATTGAAAATTTATTTAAATATTTCCTTTTTATTTGATGGTTGCAAAGGTTTCCTATTTGGTGTTTAAACAATCACTAATCCAAGCTAAATTTCATTTCCAAAGAGCAAATAGGAGCTATCTGGTCCATCTACACTATCCAATCAACAGGTCGACCACCCTATTAGAGAAGTAATACTGCCTTACCTTGTGTTGTGCCTGAGTTTTCCATGGGGGAAACATGTGTCCTCTGCAAACCTAACCTATTGAATTATTCTTTTTTTATCATTTTTGTATTGAAAATGAAAAATAACAAAGGTTCTAGCACAGAACCTTGAGGTACACTACTTGTGACAATAACCCAATGTGCATGGCTTCATCCAATTAATGACAACCTTCTGCTTTCTATGACCCAACTAATTCTGTATAGACTTAATATCTTACTTTCTGCTAAAGGTATGTCAAACCCACTGTATTATTTTGGTTCAGATTAAATATAACATTTTCACTGACAATTAGCAAATTTGTAAAACATAGTCTTCTATAAGAATATGACACTTGTCTTTCTAAATCCGTGCTGGTTATCTGTAAGAATATGACACTGGTCTTTCTAAACCCATGCTGGTTATCTGTAATAATATGACACTGGTCTTTCTAAATCCATGCTGGTTATCTGTAATAATATGACACTGGTCTTTCTAAATCCATGCTGGTTATCTGTAATAATATGACACTTGTCTTTCTAAATCCATGCTGGTTATCTGGTATAATATGACACTTGTCTTTCTAAATCCTTGCTGGTTGTCTGTAATAATATGACACTTGTCTTTCTAAATCCTTGCTGTGTATTCATAATTTGTTAGAATAAAAACAAGCAGAATGTCGTAAACAGCCTTTCATCTGCGCCAGTTTTTCCAGAACTTTGAATGTAATTCAATTCTTTTTTTTTTCTAATTTAGCCTAATGTAATCCATTTTTAAGTTTATTAATCTAGCAGTGCACATGGAAAATGAATAAAACAATTATAAAGTAACTTTTTGTCTGTGTTGACAACACTCACCTGACAATTTAATGCTGCACAAAAGAGCCAACTTTTTCTCTTTGGAGCATTCATTCACAAATAAAGCTGATCATCCCAACCAACATTTTCCATCTTGTTGCTATTCTGTTTCAATAATCTAACATCAAGTTGGATTTGGTACCAGTGGACTTATCTTTAACATTGTTGATCATTTGTCAGTAGTTTCTGTGAGGTGACGAAATTAACACAGAATACTGATTAATAGAGCATACAATGTGTAGTTTTAAGTACATATATCTAATTCATCTTTCTTTTATCTCTCTCTCTCCTATACATAGTGTTGTTTATATTTAAGGTTAACCTATAATTAAAGCTAGTGTTTCGTCAGAGTTGACTTGTTAATTCTATTTTTTGGTGAGTGTGTAGCAGACTGTAGCACGGTGAAGCAGAATGTTGTGTGTAACTTGCAAGATCCTATAATTTTTTACAGATAAATTGCTTGAATGATAAAGTTTCTTCATATGATCAGTATCAATGGTTATAGAAGATCAAAAGAGAAAAGTTCCTAACTGGTAAATCATGGAACTCGTCACTTCATAGTCGTATTGATATTGTTATACTGGAGGTACCAAAAATCCAAGTCACAGTTAAACTCTAAGTTATGTAATATGTGTATGTTTAACTTGCATATTTCAGAATTGTATTTACTAGTTTTTAACACCCTAAAACTGTGTAAATTGTAAAGTATTTATTATGGTTGATGTTAAAATAAAAGCAACTACCGTGTTCTTAGACTAAATTATAATCAATCATAACAAATACTTTACAATTTACACAATGGAATTTTCATAATTTTAGGGTGTTAAAAATAGTAAATACAATTCTAAAATATGCACGTTAAACATACGTGTATTACATAATTTAAAGTTTAACATCAACCATAATAAATACTTTACAATTTACACAGTTTTATGGTGTTAAAAACTAGTAAATACAATTCTGAAATATGCAAGTTAAACATACACATATTACATAATTTAGAGGAAGCTTCAGTGAAATATATTGTTTTATAGTTCGTAGGTATGACAATGCTACAACCTGTGGTTTGGTGTGGACAGCCAATTTTGTGGCATATAGATGTCGGACATGCGGTATCTCCCCGTGTATGTCTCTGTGTGCTGACTGCTTTCAACATGGTAATCATGAAGGACATGACTTTAATATGTTCCGCAGCCAGGCAGGAGGAGCGTGCGACTGTGGAGACACGAGCGTCATGAAAGAGTCAGGGTAGCGTGTTTACATAAATAGATATAGGTCATGAAATTAACTTTTTATTTAAGTGCCACTCAGCCACGGTCATCAGGTATCAGAAGAGGGTTTGTGGGTGTGAAAATATATTCACCTCCTCTCCCCCTAACAAAATTGTAAGTGTCCATTTATTGCTAAATTGTTGTTGTTTTTTCTCTTCAAATACATGAGCTTTCACAGCAAATACCCATTATTATTACAGCCAAGTTCACAGTTTAAGAATTTCCTGTATAAAGCAGGTACTGCCATGTGGCTAAAACCTGAGCTTGGTAGGCTAGCCTAGATGTGGGCAGACCTAGATTTGCGTCCAACTGGTCACAAGCATAAATATCATATCAAGGTTGTGGTAGGTAGGTTATTGCTTATTTTATAGGTAGGCCCAAATCTAGTGCATGGAATACATAAACCCTGAGAACTAAATAGGAATATGAAGCTATGATTCTGCTATAGCCTTCTGTTTAGCATTAGGACATCCTGCATTGTTTTACTGCTACTAATATTAGCCTAGGTGTAGGCCTAGATACTGTATTAAGCAAGTAATAATATATATATATGCATGTAGAGATTTAGCCAAGCTGGAAAGCAACATACATAAACTACATATACCAATATGCAAGATATAATTTCTGTTTCAAATTTTTTGGCCCCTGCATGAATTTACTAACTAGTATTGGTAAACATTGGTTATTTAACACACCACTGGCTGGTAAATTACATTAACTTTTTTGTATATGCCCAATGTGGATTGAAATCTTGGTCAGATAGTGGTTTGTTTGTTAACTTATTAGAATCATCTAAATGATTTATAAATTTTAATACAATCTAAGCAAGAGAAACCTTGCAATTTTGCAATGGTTTTAGGCCACCAGATCACAAGTTTGTGGTCTGAAAAAATTCTTGATTTATGTCCAGAGTACACTCTTGTTAAACTTGATGGAAGCCACAGTGTTGTTTTACTTGGTCTGAAACAACTCCTGTAATATTTTCATGCCAATCGGGCACAGCCTTTTCAGTTTTTACATGCCCAACATGATTTTTAGGAGCATTTGGTACAGGGCACGTATTAATTTCATACCCTGTAGACACATCTGTGTTTAAAATTTAAAAAAAAAGTAATTATTGAAAATACATAACATCTGTTTTTGTTTTAAAGTAACATGTAAGATAAACTTTTTTTTGTTGTTGTTGTTTCAGGATTTTTCATGTTAATAGAAAAGATGACTTACTGGCTGAATATCAGTTTTATAAGCTGTTTATGTTGTGATAATATTTTGTTGCCAAAAATACGTTTTAAGTTGTTGTTTTTTTTTTATTTCTTACTCAATGATATTATGGTATAATTTTATGAGAAGTTAGAAAAATATAACTCAAGTAAAACATTCACAGCTTTATAAATATAGACAAAATATAAATGTTTTCTGCTTTTGTTAAGACAAGGAGAATGGGCACTTAAGATGCTTTCTATAATAAAAGTACAGCATGAAATCTTAATATTTTATATTTGTCATGTTATGCTGGATGAAACTTTTGTTTGCTAAAGTTTCCGTACTTGTACGCACCCAAAACGAAATTATTAATACATTTCAACATTGTGAGTGTACCTGTTTCAGTTAACACAAGTACTAAGTTACTCAATATGACTGATATACACTTGTATGTATGTATGTAACACTAATGTGGATTTTCAGTTTCCGTAACAGTATGCCATAGATATGTTGTTTTTTTGGAATATTTTTTTTTATGTGCATAAATGCAATAAAAATAAAATTGATAAGGTTCACTGAGAACTGTTTACTCAGAGCAGGAAGCAGTAGTTGAGACAAAGTAAAGAGTTGTTGTAAGAAATAACTTATTGTAACTCAAAATTGTTGTATTTGTGCTATTAAATTCTTTTGTTTTCATTTTTTTCATGTTCACAGCTACTTTCAGTGGGAGAGGCTTATCTTTAATAAAATAATTTTTTGTTTTCAGTTATTATATAAAACTACAATACATCTTAACTAATTAAAAAAATGAAACTTTTCATCTGGATATTGGTCAGTTTGAAATGAGAATACAATACATTTTATCTGTTGCATATGTTACTCATGTCTTTAAATGCTCTATTACTGTTGTCACTTAAACACTGAAAAAGTTATTCCTTATAATATCATTCAATTGTCAAAATCTTTTTTAAGGTATAGGTGTTTTGAGATGATAAAACTAATAATGTGTTGATAGTGTCCTGTTTAATTCTGTGGAAGTTACTGTAGTTAGAATTAATATTTCATTAAGGTTCTGCAATCGGCATGGACCTAAAGCTCAGCTGAACAAAACCTTGGCTCCTCCAGATCTGTTATGTGTTGCTGAAGCTATGATGCCTCGAGTAATTCTCAGACTTATTCAATATCTACGAGAACACAGTGCCAACTCAGGTATTTAATTTAGAACTTTTTTTTTAGATGTTAGTGGAGCATCTTACCAGTCTTAAATTGCAGTAGAATATGGCTGATAATAAGAGCTAAAATTTCTTGAAACTTCAGTTTTCAGCTGTTTGTGTTCGATTGTTTGATATGAATTGAAAAACAAGGTGTATTTGCTCATTTGCTTCCTTCAAGCTGGAGCAACTACGGTAGTTTTTTTACTCAAACATCTAAGTAAACCTCTTCTATCTTGTCAGCAAAGTATGTTATAAAAATTTTTCTGTTTAATTTCCTTTTTAAATATTGTTTTAATATAAAATCTGATAAAGAGATATAATTTTGGTATAAATAGTCCATATTTTATTATGATAGAACAGTTTTCCATGAAGTAAAGAAAAAGGTTTATTAGTGGTTTGTGTGCTAGTTAAGTGTAACTTGATATTAATTCATGGTCAAATGATTCTTTGGGAACTTTCCTTTCACTATAATTTACTTGTGTTAACTTGCCCAATTGATGAAACAATAAAACAGTGCATTATATTCTTTAAAGTAAGAGCATAATAACAGTATATTGAATTAACTACACTTCAGGAATCGAAATATTGCGTTCCTATTCCCGAGGAATTTCATCTTTTTAGTTGGCTTTCCTGATCGGGAATGTGTGGTCCATCCATATCATATTCCTTTAGTTATGACCAGTGAAAATACATTGCATAGATTAAATAAAAAAACAATTCATGAGGAAATGAAACTTTACATGAGGGAATGTAATCTTCCTGATAGCTTTCCTTCGAGTGAATGTAATTTGATTTCATTATTTCTATCTCTGTACTTAATATATAAGTAACTAGCTAGCTAGCTAGCTTACTCATAATATTAATTGTTATTTAACTTTTTCTTTTTTTGCTGGTTGTTTTCTAAGAATGGGCTGTTCATTTGTCTTAAAATCATATATACACTCATGTTTTACTTACTTGTTAACAGAATGCTTCACTGAAGAATGTTATGTATTTTATTTAGTTAGTTTGCTGAAGAGTCTTATTGTTCACCAGAATGAACAATAAATTCATGAAAATTTCTCCACTTTCTAAGTTACCTTGAAAACATTTTTCAATTGGGTTTGAACTATTCAGAACTAAAATACATTAATCATGATTATGTATAAGCAACTACTAATTTAAAAGTTGACACCTTGCTGAACGGCAGATCAATCTTGGTCAACTCAACAAAGGAAGTATTTTGAAGGTCTTGCTTTGGTCAGTTCAAATTAAATTCAATGGCAAAAAGAACTGAGTTTTAAGATTAAACTTAAGGAATTTAATAACAAATATTTTAGGGCAGAGTTTGTTTTTTTTGACAGAAAATAAAGATTAAAACCTTTTGTTGACAAGTCTGACTAGCCAGAAACCAGAGATACATAATCTAAGTAGTGCGTGAAATACTATGAGAGAGTGGTAAAACACACATACTTTAATGATGCTGGCAATTATTTTATAATATTGTTAAAGATATGAGGAAATGAGGGATAAAACATCAATTAATACAGAGATGATAAAGTTGAAGTTCTAGATAATTCTGTTCATATTTAGGATTATTTGTCTACATATTTTAAGGGATTTCTTTTTATAATCTATATTTTGCCTTTTTTTTCTTTCTTTTCTTTTAACCATCTTAAAAGTATAATTTTACAGTTAGTGGTCACAGTTCATTATTACATTAACATGGCTGACCACAAAGTCATTACAATCTCATAATTTTACAGTTATGTATTCTGTATGTGAAAATTGCTTTGTTGGCTTAATGTAGGAGACTTGAGTGTTATTAGCGAAGCGGATGGGTTCCTTTCGATGCTACATCACCTGAGTGAAATGGGGGGAGCTATGAGAATGGTGATGACAAGAGCATTAACTAATCCAAGAACTTATTCATGTAGCTGTCTTGTTGAAGGTATGTGCTAAAAAAAGGTACTTACAACTTTGTGTTACAGTCGTTACATTTAAGGTTTATCTATAATTAAAGATAAGAGTCCAGAAAAATGTTCTTTAAAATTCCACTTTCAAAGCTTACTGTTATTAATGTAGAGCATGAAAGTGGTGCACAGTGTATGTCATGTTGAGTTGAAATAATCATAACATTTGAACCTTGACTTGAGTTTGGTGGCTGGTAGTTAAAACTAGGGTTGTATGTCTTACTTGAGAATTATCAGACTATTAATATTTTTACATAAAATATTTATAATAACAACTTTAAACTCATGAACCATAATACTTAAATGTTGATTAGTAAATTTTAAGTCTGATAGGTTTTTGTAAAAGAATACGCATGTATCTATTTGCTTTTCAGTATTATCAAACTGTATGTTAGTATAAACTGATGATATAGAATATATTCCAGTAAGATCTGCAGGGGTTAGGCAAAAAACAACACTTGTTTAAAGATGTATGTATTATTCCCCAGATATTGTATGAACTAGGTTTTTGGCTGATTGATTAATTTATTATTCCAATGACATTTCAGACAGGTGATCTGTATCATTTAAAATAAGTAAACTCTGTGCCATGAGAAAGAAGTGTGACTTAACTGACTTTTAAAGAGACCAGATTATAGGAGCCCAACTAAAGTAGGTGATCCAAACTTCACAACTACTTAGTATTGAATAAAGAAAAGTATTAAATGTTAAACAGCATACCTGTAGAGTTGAAGCATTTCTAACAGTCGGAGGTGGATCCAGATATCAGTAAGCTGTGTGTTTCTAATTTTTTTTATTGTAAAATCAGTTTCTTAAATGAACAGTCTCCTTAGACTTGTAATATCTGTGCAGTTGATCATATTGATGAATGTAAAGTTCTAACTCATCTCAAAGCTGCCGAGATGTAGTGATTGTTCTAGTGAAAGAAGATTTGACCAAGTTTCAGACTGTACGAGTGTGGTGGTTTCTTTGAAGAGTCCTTCTTCATCAGAGTGAAAAATGTAGCATTGAAGGTTGAATATAATAAGCTACATTGCTTGGATACATTCTGCTGGGTGTTATTCACCCTTCTGCTCTGTCAGCTTTGGCAACTTGCAGAACTATACAAACGGAGTCAAGTGTCTTATGTAATTTTCCCCATAGTTTTACTCTACTGTTAGTAAAGAAATAAATGAAATGCATCTCATTAGACTATACACTTCATTCATTAACCATATGTTGCATTTTAAGCATCTTCAAAACTGTGCTTTATAGGAGTGAAAGGCCTCCTACACACTAACTTCGGGTGGACAAAAGTATATATTTTTGAAATATATTTATGCATGCCTGTGAGTGAAAACCTGTAAAGGTTTAACACTTTCACTATGGACATCTTTTTCTGTGCATGTCACAAGGTTTTAGTGAATTACATTCAAAATTTAGTTAAATTATTTTTGTATTATGATATACAAATAAATTTGGCATAAAAACATAGCTAATAGTCCTGATTTTAATATGTATACTGTTACAATATTTAAGCTGTTTAGGATAAAGAAATGTAGTTTCAATTTGAAGTTACTCTAGAAAGAAAAAAGGGTAATTTAAATTTATTTTGGTGGTTACAAGGTCGGTCAAATTGACCAACCTTGTATATAGTTAGGGTAGAGAAAATAACAGATAAAATATAAAGTTTTACTGAAAACAATCATTTGAAACGTGTTTAGGAGATTTTAAAGATATACAAATGAAATTTAAGATTTTTCAAATGAAGACAAATATCATTACTCTCAACATGAAAATCATTTTGCACTATAAGCAGTCAACAGTTTACTCAGTATATTCATGGAGAAATTTTTAGTGAAAATACTTCATTAAAAAATTCAGAGTTTTTTGGCAACAAATGACTAATGATTACTGAAAGGCTGCAAAATTTTGGAAGATACACAAAATATATTAGAAGTTATTGTACAAAAACTATAAAGGTCAACTTGGGGTTACAGATTCATTCGAATCAACTGAGCCTGTGGTGAGGGTGTTAATTAAGAAAGTTATGAGTGGGGAAACATCTACAGTCAAAAAGATTTTTAATTACATCTCATAGTCCTAAAATGAGACTTACGGTCTTTAATCCATATAGTAGTACTGGAAAGATGTATATATAGAAATGTTTTGTACTATATTTGATAATCTAAGACACACATTGATGTTTTTTGCTCAATCTGTTTATATGGGAGTTGCTTCTATGGTAAGATTACTTTCATTGTGAATAAGCTCAACAATATTCTGTATAAAATTTACATGTGCTTTCTTGGAAAGCAGAACATAATACAAAGTGTTTTTCAGTAGAGGATACATATGACAGTTTGTGTTGAGTTTGTTTACCTGGAAGATGTGTAAGTAGTTAACTCGAAAGTTGATAAATCTGTTGTGCTCTTCCAGACTGTGATCAGCGTTATCCTGAAAGTCTTGGATACCTAAGGAGAAGCCAGCTTTTATATGAAGAAGCCAAGAAAACTCTACATAACTGTGATTGTCCAGTAGAGTATCAGGAAAGTAAGAATTTATATATTGTTTATTCATTTTAAATAATGCTTGTTTTGTGTTTAAGCCTATAACAAAAAGTTAAAGATTTCTATTCAGATTATGTAGACTTTATTGTTTTAAACATTTTTATGTTTTTGTATAGGTACTTAATTTATATTTTCATGCATTTGTAACCAAAAAACAGCTGTAAAAAACATTAAGGAATTTTTTGGACATGTTTGCAATTTGAGTATTTTGCTTTGATGTAAGCTTCATACTGTTTTTATTTTGTTATTTATATGGTCCTTCCCTTTGTAAAGAATTTAATAAAATGAGTAAATTAGAGGACAGTAAATTTTCTTTATGGTTTTCCAACTTTTTTCAAGGGTAATACAAGGTGTCCAAAAAAAGTCTGGAATCATGGGCACTTGTACGAATTTTGTAGAATGTGTTCCACATGTTGTCCCTGTAATTCAAAACAGGTTTGAATTAACAGTAGGATTAACTCATATTTTGATAGCACTGTAATCAATCACGTAACTGAAAGTAAGAGCAGCTGTAAATCACCTATGGTTTCAGACTTTTTTTTGGACATCTTCTTTTTGGTTTTTCCAACTTTTCTTCATTCTGAAGGGGGGGGAAGTATTCAATGAAAGTTAGAAAAAATTCTGTTAAGCAAAAATGAAATTATGGAATTTTATGTGTAAGCTTAATCTTTTAATAATACATTTTTTATTTATTGATACATTGATTATTATATTTTGCTTTGATATAATGTGATTGGTTTAATAGAGGTGATTGTTTATCAAGTTCTTAAGTTGCTATGGTTTGTAGTTTTTCATGTGTTCAGTCATGCACAAGGGTGACACCAGTGACCCATTCAGTATTTTAAACAGTAGAAGAATCATTGCAGAGCAGTTGGAAAGATTATTTTGGAAGTAACGTTGAATTATATATTTCTAATTATTAAAACACTAAGGTTAAAAGAAAGGGCAAAAACTACAGTATTGTAAGTAGCTGAGTATTAAAAATGTCAACATTTTCTACATTAGAAAGTCCTAAGTTTTCAAACAAAAAGTTTAGAATCCAAGGTTCAGACTGATTGTATGAGCTCAATTTACCACTTCTTGGCTATCTATAATATTATCCAATTATTAACTGAATTATGTTTGGATTTGATGGTCGGTTCTTTGTACCATTTCTAACTACACTTAGCTACTGTCAGGATTCATTGTACCATTTCTAACTAAACTTAGCTACTGTAAGGATTCATTGTACCATTTCTAACTAAACTTAGCTACTGTAAGGATTCATTGTACCATTTCTAACTAAACTTAGCTACTGTAAGGATTCATTGTACTATTTCTAACTAAACTTAGCTACTGTGGGGATTCATTGTACCAATAGTGATTATCTAAATTAGTAGTTCCCAGCTGCTGTTCTACAGATCAGATGGAAATAAAATGTGTTTTAAAATGTAGCTGTGGAAGTAAATTATTTTTCAATGTAATTTGAAAGTACTTTAAAAAGTTAATATTGTACAAAGCAGTATGGGAAGTTTTGGGATCGGAACGAGCTGGTAGTCCGTTGTTTAATAATAACTTATTTTTGCATATAAATATGAAGATTATAAATGATTTGGAGAATAATCTGCATTAGGAATTTTGATGAGAAATGTACTTTGCTTATTTGCGTACCAATACATATTCGTTGTTAGGGAATTTACTGATTATTTTGGTTGAGGATCAGGGTCAACATTATGTGTGTAGTGTGGGCATGGATAAGTGTACAGTAGACTGTGATGCTGTTTTGAGTAAGGATCTGTTCCAGGGCACTTATTGTCCATTAGTTGGTCGTCCGAGGAAGGTTTTAGTCATCTTGGACAACCGTTAAAATCGAGTGATATATATTGTTATATCTTTCACACTGGCCTAGTGGTTGGTATACGAGGATTATGGAACTGAGGATTTGTGGTTTGTGTCTCATTACTGCAAAAATGTGCTCCATACTTGAAGCCATGGGTGAATTTTTAGAGTGACAGTCAAATCCCACTATCTGATCAAGCAAGAAAAGACCATCAGTTGGTGATGCGTGCTGTTGACAAGTGCCTTCCCTCTAATCTCTAAAGAAACATTGAACATCGTTTTTTAGACTGGATATTATTTTATGGTATCTAATTCATTGGCTTGGAATATGTTTTATAATTTCTTATATTATTAAATGAAAGAGTTTTGTAGCAGGATTTATTATCTTATTTACAGCTATTCCATCCTTCCATCCTGATTTAAAACACAGCACTTTCCTTGAGGAACTGGTGTTTTGGACAGTCAAGTTTGAATTTCCTCAGAAACTTATCTGTTTCTTACTTAACATGCTGCCTGACCCTCATTACAAGGTTTGTCTTTATATTCAATCTTTTCTTTTCACATCTGAACTTTTCTGTACAAAATTGATTTCTTGCATCACTGATTTATCTTAGTGGTGTATCTTTGAAAGTAATTGTAGGTGATAACCGTATTTAGTAGAACATTTTGAAAGCCAGTTATTAGTCCCTTTGTTTATGCTAGTGACAGGAAATGTT